TTTGATTAGTTAAATGTCAGCAAGCCTTGTATTTTGACTTTTGCACTACTTTTCTGCAGGTTAAATGAAACTACCATGTTTTCTGGTTGCCATGGTTCCTCAATGTATTTTTTTTTCTTTTTGTGGTTACTTTGTATCTCTGTAGTGTGCTTATTTTTTCTCTTTCTTCATATTTTGTGGTTATTTGTTGTAGTTTTATCAATCTTTTTGATTGGTTTCTTGTATTTTCTGTTGCTCTTTGTCGTTTGAATCTTTGTTCTTGGTTTGTGGCTTCACATTTAATACTGATTAGTGGCTTTATGAAGTATGACCTTTAGTATATTTGCACTGCTGGTGTTTCATATTTCGACAGACGGAGTGATGGTGTTTGGTAGTTGACTGAGCAATGCTTCTTTAAAGGTTCACTATGTGAATACACGTACAAGATTTAGACACAGGGCCTATGTTCTCATCGTAGTTGTGAAAAAATGGAAATGTTGAGTGCTTCCATAACAGCAAAAGGGAAATGAATCTATGTTGCAATTTTTAAAAAAAAATGAAAGTACCATGTGTCAGTTTACTGACGTGTGCAGCAATGTGTTATTAGAGGTGGCCAAGGCTTTTCTTCCGCAACAGAGAAAAGCCCAGTTATTCATCTGTCATAAGCTTTTGAGTCATAACATGAGCCTTCACTGTAATGTCTCCCTATTTCTGCTCCTGTCAAGCTCTGCTGAATGCCAGCAGATCCCAGAAATGAGTCTCACACTTGGACATAGTCAACCACTTCAGGGAGCACCTAACTTTAGTATTTTAGATGGTATCTTTGGACACTGGCTGCGTTTTCTCTCCTTTTCACTCCTTCCAGTCCTTGTATCTGACTATTTGCGTGCCCAGTTTTATCTGATCTCAGAAGCTGAGCAAGGTCAGATGGGTGAATACCAGGTGCTGTAAGCTATTATGCAGCTGTGGTTTAGGTAGTAGAGCGGGCCGTTTACCATTCCAGCGTTTTGAAGCATTCCTGAGCAAGATACTGAAACCTGAGTTTTGAGTGTGTGAATATTAGATAAGGAGCTTGCGTACAAAAAACAGCATGTGGATGAATGTGTGTGTGATTGGGTGAATGAAGCTTGTAGCGAAATGTGCTTTAAGTGCTCCAGGTAGAAAAGTGCGATATAAGTATCAGTCCATTTACCATTTCAGAGGAAAATTGTATTTGTTTGTTTGTTTGTTAAGTCACTCCTTCCATTTCTGATGAGGCTTTAAGAAACAACAGATTGATCAACTAGAAGCCCATATACAGCTCTCAGGTTCTGCATCAGGGCTGCTAATAACAAATTGCCTAACTATACAATGTAACACTGAATTGAAGAGCCGGGATTAAATTGTTTCTATGTTTAATTTAGTTTTTTTTTTGACACCCTTGAAAATGTGCATAAATGTGCATAATATAATGTTATTATGAAGGTTGCCGGTTCGATCCCCAACTCTGTCTGTCCTGGTCGTTGTGTTCTTGGGCAAGACACTTCACCTACCGCCTACTGGTGCTGGCCAGAGGGGCCGATGAGACGATATGGCAGCCTCGCTTCTGGGCAGCTGTGGCTACAACTGTAGCTTGCCTC